GATCTGTTTCTATGGCGTGACGTAACATGATTTTCACCATAAGTCGGAACCCACGTACATAAGCACCTACATCACTCACATTGAGCACATGTACAGCAGAATGAAGTGAAACAGTAAAAAAAAAAATTAAAAGATAACAATTCCTGACCTTTACTTGTGGTAAATAAATAATAAAAAACATAAAGCACATATGTACATATGTTGAAATGACAGAACTTTTTTTTTTTTAATAAATAAACTAGAGGCCTGGTACACAAATTTTATGCACGGGGGTGTCCTCTTATTCTAGGGGATTGGACCTAAACAGACAGTTGGACATCCCTCTCACAATCCAGAACTGCTGAATCCTAACTGCTCACCTGCCTGTCTGCTTGCTCCTAACTGACCCCCCCCTTGCCAGCCTGATTAACCTAACTGCCTCTGCCTGACAGCCTGTTCGCCCCTAATGCCTCCCCCCACCTCTGGCCTGGTTGCCCCCAATTGCCTCCCCTGCCAGCCTGGTTGCCCCTCACTGCTCTCCCCCCCTACCCCCCCACTGGCCTGGTCACTCCATGCAGCTTTCTGTTCATTTGTTTGGTTGCCCCTCGCTGCCCCCAGTGCCAGCTTGGTCGCCCACACAGCCTGCTGTTCAGTCATTTGGTCTTCCCTCACTAACCTTTCTGCCGGCCTTGTCACCATGCAGCCTGCTGTTCAGTCATTACTGTGAGGGTGTCCTCACCAATTTGCACATTACCTTTTTATTAGTATAGATGGGAGATGGTGACATAACCACAAAACAATGTACGTCGAATCCGACATAACCTGAGGACTGTCTGTATGGAGTTAACATGTGATTTGGCAAATTCCACTTTGGGTTTTATACCCAAAATAATTGAAAACATATGCCTACACAACTTGTACATGAATGTTCATAGCAGTGTTACTCAGAATAGCCAAAATGTAGAAACAACTGAAATGCCCATCAAATGATGAATGAATAAAATGTAATATATCCACACAAAGGAATATTATTCAGCCATAAAAAAGAATAAAATACTGTTACATACTATAATATGGATGAATTGTGAAGACATTATTCTAGGTTAAAGAAGCCAGACTCAAAAATTACATATTGTATGCTTTCATTATATGAAATGTTCAGAATAGATAGATCTATAGAGACAGAAATTATTGGTTTCCAGGGGTAGGGGAAAAGATTATAGGAATTAACTGCTAATAGGATTTCTCTTTGGAATGACAAAAATGTTTTTTGAATGAAATAGTGGTTAGGCCGGGACCGGTTTGGCTCAGTGGATAGAGCGTCGGCTTGGGGACTGAAGGGTCCCGGGTTCGATTCCGGTCAAGGGCATGTACCTTGGTTGCGGGCATATCCCCAGTAGGGGGTGTGCAAGAGGCAGCTGATCGATGACTCTCTCTCATTGATGTTTCTAGCTATCTCTCTCCCTTCCCCTCTGTACAAAAATCAATAAAATATATTAAAAAAAAAAAAAGAGAAATAGTGGTTAGGTACATAGCTTCATGAATATACTAACCCTCCCCCCCACACACACACATCCACACAAACCCACAAAGAGAATCAACCCACTGAATTGTACAAAAGATTAAAAAAAAAAAAAAAGAAGAACAAAGAAATACGAACCAAATTGAACCTTAGGAGTTAAAAAAAATACAGTATTGCAAAGGAAAATCTCATTGGATGATATTGGGAGCAGATTAGACAATGCAAAAAAAAACCCAACACATTAAGGAACTTAAATACTAACGGCAATAAAAACTAGCCTGAACAAAGTATGGAGAGAAAAAAAGACCTGAGAGTGGGGACTAAACTGAACAGCCTCAGTGATATAGGACAGTAAATATCAAGCAGTTTGTTATACATAAAATCCCTGAAGGAGGCTCCTCAAACTGGCTCACATCCTTTTGCCACATCCCCATCATTCTCACAGCACTGGCGCTATGGGCTCCTCTTGTACTTCCTTTTCCAAGCCTTGGAACCAGCCATTTCTTCAAGGATTCTTGGTTCCTTTTAGTAAAGTGATATTTAGAAGCCAAAACATAGTGTTAGATGTGCTCATTATTTATTGGAGGTATTGCTCATAAAAAGAAAATGTTCTTAAGTAGCATGTAAAAAAGGAACCCTGCAATTTGATTTCCATCAAAATACTGTTTGAGAGGTGGTAGTGGTGGTGGTGGTGGTGTTAAATTGGCAGAACAGAGACTAATATAAGAGACATCCATGTGCCCATCCTCCCCAATTTAACATATAGAAGCAAAATCTCTAGCAAATTGCTTTCCAGAGTGGTTCCAGCAATTTACAAACCCATTAGCATTATACTCCTATTTGACCATTTCCTTACTGATATTTGGTTTCATCAGTATTTTTAATTTTTCTAATCTGGAAAGAAATCTTATTGCTATTCATTGGTTATGTGGGTTTCTTCTTGGGTGAAAGGCTTTTTCTATCCTTTACCTGTATCTCTCTCTCTTCATTCTAAAATAAATATTCTGTAGTCTTTTTTTACCTTCAGTCTGACAGCTATCATTTTGTAGTCTGTGGATTGTCTTTCATTTTAATCACAAGATAAACAGTTTTTGTATTTTACTTTGTCAAATTAATTTTTGTGTCTCATGAAGTCTTTCTATCTTTTTTTCGCAAGGAGCTTCTATGCTTCTAAGATTTTTAAAAATATGTTTTTATTGATTTTTTAGAGAGAGAGGAAGGGAGAGGGACAGAGCTTGAACCTCAGTGGAGGGCATGCAGGAGGCAGCCAATCAATGTTTCTCTCTCATCGTTGATGTTTCTATCTCTTTTTCCTTCTCCCTTACACTCTGAAATATAAAAATATTTATTAAAAGTAATAAATATAGCCCTAACTGATTTGGCTCAGTGAATAGAGCATCAGCCTGCAGACTGCAGGGTTCCAGGTTCGATTCCGGTCAAGGGCATGTACCTTGGTTGTAAGCACATCCCCAGTGGGGGGTGCACAGGAGGCAGCTGATCTACGTTTCTCCCTCATTGATGTTTCTAACTCTCTATCCCTTTCTCTTTTTCTCTGTAAAAAAAAATCAATGAAATATATATTTTAAAAAAGTAATGAATATAAAGCAAAAAAGTTTTTTGATGAAATACACTTCATAATTTTCTTTTATGGTTCATGCTTTTTGTGTCTCCAGAAATCTATGCCTTTAAATATTATATTATTTCACATATAATGTTACTATGTTGCCACATTTTTTCATTTTTCCCTTTGTACTATTGTTTCATACACTGTAATCCTACATATGTTTTTTAATAACACTTTATAAATCCTATCAATACTACACATTGTTATTTTTTCTTTAAACAGATATTTTTCCTTCAAAGAAATTAAGAAACATAAAGCAAGTTTTATCTACACACATATTTGGTATTCTTCATTTCTTTGTGTAGATCCAGTTTTCATCTGATATCATTTTCCTTTTGCTTGGAAAGTGTTCTTAACATTTTTTATATATAGTATAGGTCTATTGGGAAACAAATTCTGTGCTTTTTTTTGAGGGGGCTCTGAAAAGTACTTGTTTTGACTTATTTCTGAAAGATATTTTCAGTGGATATAAAATTCTATGTTAAAAGATTTCCTTTCAGCACTTTAAAGTTGTCTATGGTAATTCCTTATTTTTGTTCCTCTGGGCATAATGTGTCCTTTTTTCCTCTGACCACTTTTGAGGTTTCTTCTATCAAGAATTCTATGATTTTTAAGAATTTAATTACAGTTTGTCTTTATGTGATTTTTCTTTGTGTTTATTATACTTTGATTTGTTGATTTTTTTTTTTTTTTTTTACCTGTTCATTTATAGATTGCATCAAATTTGGAAACTTTGGAGTCATTATTTCTTTAAATATTTTTCTACACTTTCTTCCCCTTTTCTAATTATACATGTGTTAGATCATTTGATATTTTTCCACAGGTTGCTGCAGCTCTGTTCATTGCCCCCCCCCCCCCCCCCCCCCCCCCCCCCCCACACACACACACACTTTTCTCTCTCTCTGTTTCTATTTTGGCTAAAGTTTATATTACTGTGTGTCTAAAGTTTCTTGATTTTTTTCCCCCCCACAGTATGTAATATGTAATGATTTGCATCTAGTGAATGTTTGAGGCTTAGTATATTTCATCTCTAGAAGAACCATTTGGTTCTCTTTTATATTTTCCATTTCTCTCCTCAGGACCTAACATAGTTCCTGACATATCATAAATGGTCAGAAAATATTTATGGAATCTGAAAGATGATTTTGCCTTCAAGTCAGAGACTAGAAACTTGAAGAGGTTGGATATGGATTAGTAAATTGGTGAAAGCAGTTTGATCTCTGTAGTGGGCTTGGAATGGCTGTGTCCAGGGACAAATGGCTGTGTCAGGGACAAAAAAGTGCACACAATGTTAGAATTTTTAGCAAAATCATACTGGGTGCAGAGGAAAGGCATGTAGCATAATTTAATTAGCCTCTTTAACCAGAAAAAAATAGTTTAAGAGGGAGGAAGGATTATTGGACAGGTGTTACTTAGAAAGAAGCAGACTTATTTGGCAATGGACTAACCATAGGAGCATTAGTTCTACTGTTTAGACTGAGAATCGTGTAAAATGGTGACCTGCTCATCCTGAGGAAATAATCAAGGGGGAGAATTCAGGGAAGTAATGGCACATTCATGTTCTTGCTCATGGGGGTTAATGGTTAATCTGACTGCTCTTAGTTCAGTGGGAAAGAATGCTATGAAAATTCAGTTATAATCTGTTAATGGTGTGGAGGGGGAAATGGCTGTATTTGTTCAATACTAGTTGATGGTTTGTATTTTTTGTGCTAATTTGTGATTGACCATGGATCTATAATCAGTTGGCCCAGTAGTTGAATATGTAAACATGTTCTACATAATTTTAGTAGTGTATATTTTATAAAAATGTGAACTTTATAGTGTCAAGTAGGCTATAGGTTTTTAAGATTAAAAACTCTTTTTTTTCTAAATTAGGTTTGTTACAGGAGGAGAAAATGGCCATTGAAGCATTTCAGATTTGCTGCCTCCTCCTGCCACCTGAAAATAGGAGAAAGTTACAGCTGTTAATGAAGATGATGACAAGGATCTGCTCAAATAAGGAGATGCCGCCACTTTGTGATGGCCTTGGCACCCGAACACTGGTAGGTTGAGCTATAACATCTAACATGACTTGAGTTTTTGGAATACCGGTAAAATTAACCTGACTAAAGTGTACTAGCTTGGCAAGCTGAGGAAGATACTAGTACATGGCAGACTTGGTTATGGAGCCATGGCTTGGAATCCACCCAGCCTGGTATTGTGCTTTTGGCCTTAGTGTCTTAAAGAACATAGTAAAAGTGAGTAGGGTAGACTCTGAGTGTATCCTGTGTATTGTCAACAAAAAGAGAAGGAAGGTGGACAGAAAGGGTAAGGGATTTCTCAAGAAAACAATACTCTCCTCCAGGTCAAAAGGGTTGCAGAGCCATTATTACTATAACCAGTAGGAGAGATGCAGATATAAAGGGATTAATGAGGGAAGAAGTAAAATGTGGAATTTGACCAGACAACTTGTATCTGTCTCCTGAGGTATGACCTAAGGGTCCATGAATGAGGGTTTTTCTTAAAATATGCTCCATTTTGCTTAAAATTGAGTAATTTTACATTCTATTTTGTATTGTCAGCATGTGTTTTAAAATGGGGTTTATGTTTGGAATTGCTAATTAGCTAAATTACTTAATTTATCTAAAAAAAAAAAAAAGGTCTTGGAGTGAAAATGATGCTTCATTGGTGTGTATATGTTATTCCCATATCCTGGTGAACCCTGTGTTCTCCTGGGGGGCCACTGGCCCAGTTTTAGAAGTGTGGAGTAAGATAAGAGGAGTCCTCAGTGCCCAGGGAAGTGACTCCTGTCCTTTTTGGGGAAGGAGTTGGTAGGGAGGCTAGTGGACCTTTCTGAAAAGCTGAAGAAAAGTTTGCACATTTTCTCCAGAAAAACACATGTAAAATTTTGCATACAATTTCAAGGCATTCAGGTACCCTTGGGTCTGTAGTCTCCCAGTACAGAGTCTCTGTGCACATAAATGTGAATGAAGATCAAGTGTCATCTGCAGTGTTGATAAAGTGATGCCTTATTAGACAGAATTACATGTTTATAGATTTTGAAATACGATCGATTTTACTAAGAAAATCAATCCAACAGATAGCATTAAGAATGGAGTAGTTTATATGAATTCTGTTTATATTTCTGCTTACCATAAAGGATCTCATCACTTAATGTACTTATTGTAAAGTCTCATGGTTTTCTTCAAGGTCACTGTCAAATGTACATTCAAAATCCTAGAGAAAATAACAGTTAACTAGAAAAATATGTAGTGTTTGAGACCCACAAAACTGCTAGTAGATTGGAAAAAAAAATCAATGATTAAAAAAAAAAATCAATGATGTAATTAGGATATTATCAGATTAAATCGCTATAAAGTACACTGAATTTAAAAGTACTACATGATCAAGGTCATGGTGGTTATTATAAGTTACAGAATTTGTTTAGATACATATATTTAAAACCATCTGTGAAAGAGGCTTAAAAGCCTTCAGACTAGCATTTCTGCTAAGTCTCTGTGAGATGCGATGCACATTCTGCTCATGCTGATTAATGAGAAAATCTACGCATCTGAGATGACCAGGTGTGGCCAAGTGCCAGGTAGGATGTTCACCCGGGGCTGGGGCCATTTCTCACTGACTAGTCACATTTGTTTTTTGCAAATTAAGATCATACTTAATTCGGAGTAGGGAAAAAAATTCATTGGTATTGAACAGTGTTCCCCACTTTTTTTTCTTCTTCTTTTAGATGATTCAGACATTTTCCCGATGCATCTTGTGCTCCAAGGATGAAGTGGACTTGGATGAGTTATTGGCTGCTAGGTTGGTGACATTTCTGATGGACAATTACCAAGATATTCTTAAAGTCCCTTTGGCCTTGCAGACCTCCATAGAGGAGCGTGTGGCTCACCTACGAAGAGTGCAGGTAAAGGAAGGGATATTCTCAAGTCTTATGAAATTGTCAGCTAGGCTTCTTGAGAGTTTATGTTATGAGGACTAAGTGAATTAATATGTACAAGGTGCTTACAATAGGCGTGGCACATAGTAAGCATACAAGTTTGTTAATCACTGAAAATTTGTGGGTTGCCTATTGGTTTTGCTACGTCAATCAAATCTGCATACTTGTGATTGCAAACTCCTTAATTGAATTTGTTCAGAGTCTATATATACTTCCTGATGAAAATTATTTATATGAAATACATGTCTTTTTAAAAATATATATATTTTATTGATTTTTTACAGAGGGGAAGAGAGAGGGATAGAGAGTTAGAAACATCGATGAGAGAGAAACATCGATCAGCTGCCTCCTGGACACCCCCTACTGGGGATGTGCCCGCAACCAAGGTACATGCCCTTGACCGGAATTGAACCCAGGACCTTTCAGTCTGCAGGCCGATGCTCTATCCACTGAGCCAAACCCGTTTCGGCTGAAACACAGGTCTTCATTCTTAATAGCCCTGCACCCTAAGTACTGTTATTATATTTTTTGGATGAGAAAGCTTTGGCACAGAGAACTTAAGCAACTAGTCCAAGGTGACAGTGCCAGGATTCAAATGGATGAGATCAGTCCCCAGAATCAGTGCCCCTAACTCCTTTGCCATACTGCCTCACTTCAAACATGTGTGGTAGGTGAGCAAGAGCCATAAAGACCTGAGCCAAACTCCTGGCTCCCCTATCTCCTAGTTGTGTGGCTCTGGGCAAATCCCTTAACCTCTCTTGATTTTAGTTTCTTCAATTGTCAAAATGGGCCACACATGCTGTATAAAGTGGTTGTGAAGCATTTCACAGTATAACACTAAATTATGGATTACTGTAAAACCCCTTGCACAACTGTCTGACATGGTAGGTACCTCTTTGAAAGGGAGTGCTGTTATCGTTATTATTGCTCTAGTATGTGGACCCTAAAATGGGGTTTGTATGTCAGCCTGTAGGTACAGAAACTTTTGGTAAAAAGTCTTGGCAGAAATTCTGCTTGGTTCCTTCAGAATGATTCGACCTCTTCTTCACTAAAGTGCTTTTTGAGGTTCCTCAGTTTTGGGGCAGTTTGGGGCTGATCTGGGGTAGATCAGTTGTGAGGCAGGCGTTGTTTTTTACACCAGCCTTCTATCAGCCTCATTTGCAACCCTCTTCTCCCTGTTGTGCCCTTTAATGATAAATATCTGATGTTTTTCTCCTTTTACCTAGGACTCACTCTTCATTCCGGCCCTGTCCTGGTTTTACCGGCCAGAATAAAGGGTGAGTCCCAGGTAAATAAAAGGAAGTGTCCTTTCTTTCCCTTCTGGTCCTAGTCTGTCTCTCTGAGGTTATCTCTAACTGATGTGGTAAACTGGTGTTGAGGCATGGACTATACCTAATGTACTAACTCTTCTTGGCAACACTTATTTTTAACTGTGGCTTCTGGAAGCCTATCTTAAGCCAAAGAAGTGGATAGCTGCAACTTTATTCACTGCAGAAGATCAGTAGATGCCCTATTTTTGAGAAGATGACCCTCTTGGACTTGGAGGTTAAGTATTTTTCATAGATGCTCATTTATTCACAGGCTTCCTTTGCCCTGTACAGTATCCGCACATTTGTTGTTTTCACCTGATTCTCACTATTCACCTGTTTGACGATGGTTGTAGGACTTCCCTCTTCATGACAGCTGGGCTAAGGTGTGCAAGGAAGGGAACACCAGACTCTTCAGATGGGGAAGGAACCTGATAGTTCACTGTGTGTCCAACGTTGGTTTTTGTTTTGAATCATTTTAGAATCAACTTGTTCAGTTTATGTTTCAATTTCAGACATTATTAAGAGTTTTCCCCAGTTAAAATTGAGGAATGACATGGCATTCCTAGTAGGAAGTATTCTGTGTTTAATCTAAACAGATTTTTGTAATTTATTTGAAAATACTCTTTTCTTTCTCTACTAATCCTTTTGCTTTAGATAAAATACCCAGGAGCCGACATGGATATCACTTTATCTGCTCCATCATTTTGTCGTCAAATTAGTCCAGAGGAGTTTGAATACCAAAGAGCATACGGCTCTCAGGAACCTCTGGCAGCTTTGTTGGAGGAGGTTATAACAGATGCCAAGCTCTCCAGAAAAGAGAAGAAGAAAAAATTGAAGCAGGTAAAAGGGATATTTTTTTTTTCTTTCTCTCTCTCTTTACAGATTAAGGTATTACATATGAGTCTTTATCCCCCACCCCCACCCCCCCGCAACTCATGCCCTAACACCCCCCCACCCCCCCGGGGTCTATGTCCATTGGTTAGGCTTATATTCATGCATACAAGTCCTTTGGTTGATTTCTCTCCCCTTACCCCCACCCTTCCCTGCCTTCCCTCTGAGGTTTGATGGTCTGATCGATGCTTTTCTGCCTCTGGATCTGTTTTTGTTCATCAGTTTATGTTGTTCATTATATTCCACAAATGAGTGATATCTTTCTCTGACTGGCTTATTTCACTTAGCATAATATTCTCCAGTTCTATCTATGCTGTTGCAAATGGTAAGAATTCCTTTTTTTTTTTTAGATGTATCAGTTTTCTAATCCACTCATCTGCTGCTGGGCACTTAGGCCGTTTCCAAATCTTAGCTATTGTAAATTGTGCTGAACATAGGGGTTCATATATCCTTTCTGATTAGTGTTTCTGTTTTCTTGGTATATATTCATAGAAGTGGGATCACTGGGTCAAATGGTGGCAGTTCCAATTTTAAATTTTTAAGGAAACGCCATACTGTTTTCCACAATGGCTGCACCAGTCTGCATTCCCACCAGCAATGAAGGAAGGTTCCTTTTTCTCCACATCCTCACCAGCACTTGTCATTTGTCCATGATAGCCATACTGACAGGTGTAAGGGGGTACCTCATTGTTGTTTTGATTTGAATCTCTTGGATGATAGTGACTTTGAGCATGCTTTCATGTGTCTCTTAGCTTTCTGAATGTCCTTTTTGGAAAAGTGTCTATTTAGGTCCTTTGCCCATTTTTTGATTGGGTTGTTTATCTTCCTTTTGTTAAGTTGTATGAGTTCCCTGTAAATGTTGGAGATTAAACCCTTATCAGAGATAACATTGGCAAATATGTTCTTCCATGCTGATGCTTTCTTGTTGTTTTGTTGATGGTTTCTTTTGCTGTGCAGAACTTTTTATTTTGATGTAATCCCATTTGTTTATTTTCTCTTTAGTTTCCATTTCCCTAGGATCTGTACCGGTGAAGAAATTGCTTCTGCATTTGTCTGAGATTTTGCTGCCTGTGGGTTCCACTAATATTTTTATGGTTTCCCATCTTATGTTTAAGTCCTTTATCCTTTTTGAGTTTATTTTTGTGTATGGTGTAAGTTGGTCGTCTAGTTTCTTTTTTTTTTTTTTTTTTTTGCATGTATCTGTCCAATTTTCCCAGCACTATTTATTGAAGAGACTGTATTGACTCCATTGTATGTTCTTGCCTCCTTTGTGAAATACTAATTGAGTTAGTGGTTTGGGTCGATTCTGGGTTCTCTATTCTATTCCATTGATCTATATGTGTGTTCTTATGCTAGTTCTAGGCAGTTTTGAGAACAGTGGCTTTGTAATACAGCTTGATATCTGGTATTGAGATCCCACCTACTTTGTTCTTCTTTCTTGGGATTGCTGCAGCTATTTGGGGTCTTTTTTTATTCCAGGTGAATTTTTGGAGAGTTCATTCTCGGTCTATGAAATATGTCGCTTTTTTAATGGGGAGTTCATTGAATCTATAGATTGCTTTGGGTAGTATGGACATTTTAATTATGTTGATTCTACTAATCCATGAACACGGTATATTCTTCCATCTGTTTATATCTTCCTCCATCTCTTTTTTCAGTGTCCTGTAGTTTTCTGAATAAAAAGGGATATTCTTTATTAGTAATTTATTCTCCCTATAGTCCTTATGGTTTTTTTAATTCTCTATTTTAATAGTTTCATGCGAATCTCATCTTCTCGGATAGCAATTTTAAAAGTATATTGTTTAGTTCATGTATTCCAGAAGTCTCAGTGATTTACACATGTAGATTGTGGTCAGTTTCCCACATCTGTTTTCTCCGAAGTACATCTTTTACCATTTATTCTCTAATATTTGTCTTATTTTTGATATGTGGCATATGATATGAGTTAGTAGAGAAATTACTTTAAATTTAGAGAAGCTATTAAATGAGGACAGATTTCTTTGAAATTAGACTGAATTTACAAACATAAAATGACTAGAAATTAAAAGCCTTTGGTTTTAGATAGCCAGTGTCAAATTGGTCTCTTGCCTCAGGCATCACTAAGTTTCCTATTAAACAACATGGCTTAGGGTTTCAGACAATAGTTTTCAACTCAAAATATGTTTACTTTTCCATTCTTAAAATATCTATCCAAGGTTAAATAAATGATTTTTATTTTTAAAGACCGAATCCTGTATAGCTTGATTACTGATCACACCATATATATATATATATATATATGATTATACATAGAGCACTGGAGTTCTGGATTCCCAATCATATTTTTCTGTCATTTTGGAGAAGAGTTCAGTGGTGAGGAGAAGAAGAAAAACTTATTGCCTCTCTTTAAGCTTTTCATAATATAATATGTACTACATTGTTTTCAATTTGGGCAGAAGCAGGTGGGCTGAGAAACAGTGAAAATATTTTGACCAAAATTTTAATTATAGAGCATGTTATTTTCAAGTCAAAGTTAATTATGATTATTTTTAAAGTAAGGTTTATTTACAGTTGACAGTGGGGGAAATATAAGACTTGACTTAAATGAGAAGTTTATTTGAAGGTTGGATCAAATTAAAGATGAATTAGATATATAGAAAGTGGAATCAAATAATTCAACATAAAAAATGGATGTGTGTTAAGTAAAATTGACTGTGATCTGTTTTCTTCTTTGTTCTTTTTTTTTTTTTTTTTTTTTTTTTTTTTTTTTTTTTTTTTTTTTTTTTCTATGGAAAACAGCATTAAAACAAAACAAGAACAGGAAAATATGGGGTCAGAAACTCTTATTATAAAATTAGATTGCCAGTCTTATTGACTCTTCTCTGTTTTCTGGTTTCATTGTAAATCTCTCTCTCTTTCTCTTTTTTTTTTCTTTTTTTAGTTTCAAAAATCCTACCCTGAAGTCTACCAAGAACGATTTCCCACACCAGAAAGTGAAGCACTTCTGTTTCCCGAAAAACCAAAACCAAAACCACAGATGCTTATGTGGGCTCTAAAAAACCCTTTCCAACCATTCCAAAGAACTAGAAGTTTTCGGATGTAATACTTCCACAGCCAGTGCGATCTCTGGGTGGTGAAAGAGGGTGGCATGGAAGAAAGAGGAGCAGAAAAGACAGGCTGCTGAAATATAAATGTGGTCTGACTTCAAAACATGCTGAGTTGCCCAGCCGGTATGGCTCAATGTTTGACCTATGAACCATTAGGTCATGGTTCAATTCCCGGTCAGAGCATATGCCTGGGTTGCCAGCTTGATCCCCAGTGTGGGGTTATGTAGGAGGCAGCTAATCAGTAATTCTCATCATTAATGTTTCTATCTCTGTCTGAAATCAATAAAAATATATTAAAAAGACATACACCAAAAACCATGTTGAGCCATTATCAGTATTTTTCTAAAACTCATTGCTAGATTTAAAGTATACAAATCAGTTAAACATTATGAAATATTAATATGTAGTAATGTTAACATGTTTGTAATTATTCAAAATTTCAAGGCTATTTTTATTTGTAGTTTTTCATGGTGTTTATGAAATAATTGTGTGTACATCCTATTACTGATGTCTTTGTTATAACCAAGTCTTAGAAATAGTGTATATACTTGAATAAGAAAACACTGGGTACTGTTACTGTGATGCCATCGACTTAATAGCCAATTATGATAGCTCCTGTGTAAATTCTTATTTTCACTGTTTCACAAAGAGTCTTAAATGTCATGTGTTATGATTTCTGTATCTTTTATTGAAGGTTTGTTGGCTGCTATGACAGATTTTACTAAAGCTGGTTTTTTTATAACATATAATAGTGGCCCGGTACATGAAATTTGTACACATTAAAAGGGAATTAATTAGAGGGAATATTTTAATATTGCTATTTGCCCTTTCTCTATAATAGAAATGTCAGAGATGAAAGAAAATTAGTAAAATGTATATGAAAATCTCCCTCCTGTCAGAGTCTGGGGCACGCTGCGGGAACCAGAGACAAGTCCCCACTCACCTGTGCAGCTTGAAATCATGTGAGACCCAGACCCGGCTGGCCCCACCCCTGTCAAGCCCCGCGGGGGGGGGGGGGGGGGGGGCGGGGGGGGGGGGGGAAAGGGAAATGGCAGTGCAGCTTCAGGTCTCCAATCAAGCCCCACTGGGAGTGGGGCACAGCCTCAGGTCCCCCAGCGTGATGACCATTTGCAGATTAGCTCTTTATTATATAGGATTTTAGTTGGTGTTAATTAGAAGTGGAGTAGATTTTCATCTGACTGCTGTGGTATAATTTCAGTCATGGCTAGAGATGGAAAACTGAACAGGATAAATGTTTTCATTTCCTTTAGACATGCGATTCTAAGTCAAATCTTTGTTGTTTCATAAAAAACACAAATAGATTAAGTAAAATGAAACTACCTTCTTTATAAATATGTTTCCCCCAGCTTCCTCATTCTTTTGAAAGTAAATAGAATGTAAATAAATACTGTTTGGTTTTTTAAAATTGCTGTACATGGTGTTTTATGTTTTGTTTTGTTTTTGTTGTTTTTTTGGTATTAAGTTTCTTCAAATGCTTAACATCATTGCCTTGGCCACTGTTCTCATATTAGTCATTTATTTCTATGAAAGAATAGAACTGAGATTTGGACTTTTGTACTAGTCTTTAGGAGGGTGCTTTGTCTTTTTTTTTTTTTTTTTCTTTATGCTTTTGCAAATAGTGGCACACTTGGATTATGGACTATCTGGAAGGCTTCTGAGAACAACTACCCCAAAAGCTCAAGTATAATAACACTCATTAATGGGCATGCTTTGCTCTTTGTTCTGATTTCCCCTTGCACTTGAGATCTGCCCGGTTGTTTTGTAGCAAAATGCCTCCAACAATCAACTCAGATTTTGCTTACTTAAAATGGATAAAAGTATTTGTATTAGCTTGGGTACCATCTTACTTTGCAAATATGTAAAGTAATGGGAGTGTTTAGTGTTTCAGGATTTATTAAAAAACCTTGAAATTCTGTGTAGAGCAAAGAATGTCTACTTTTTACTCAATTTGCTCTCCAAAGTAGAGTTTACTTTCCAGAGCATTCTCTCCTGTTGTTTATCTATGGAAATATATGTTAATGTTTCTTTTTTTCCTTGTACTGTTACTTTTAAGTATTGAGAGATTATAAAACATCCTTGTCACCTAAGTGTAAAATTGATGAATGGACAATGCCAATTTTTCAAAGTGGTTCTAACAATTCACACTCTCATCAACAGTGTATGAGTTCCTTTTGCTCAACATCCTCACCAAAACTTGCTGTTGTCAAGAGTTTGAAATGTCAATATGGTGGGTTTATAATGGTATCTTATTATGATTTTACTTTGTATTAATATGGTTAAAGACTATTTCCAAATATATGTATACTAGTGGCTCAGTGCACAAAATTCATGCACATTAAAAGGAAAACACAGAGTCAAGTCACTGCCCACCCACATGTGCCTCAAAATCATGTGAGACCCAGACCTGTCATTGTAACAGTCTTTGCCTTTGAATAAACATATTTCTCACTCTGTCCTCTCTTATTCTCTGAAGTAACTTTTCCTGTGCTGCATTTCTTCCAATTCAGCACTTTTTTCTTCAGGTAAGTCTAGTCTCCTATTAAATTCTTATATTCACTATTATGAATAGTTGTATCCACTCTGCAGTTCAGGAAATTGAGACTTGGTGAGGTTGGGTTACTTCCCTAAGATTGCCAGCTTGTGAGTAACAGTAGGCAGTCATAATCAGCTCTGACTGACTGCAGAGCCCAGGCTCCTGACTAACATGTCATTGTCTCCCTGTGAACACCAATATGGTTTTTCTGAATACTTTTTAGATAGTTACATACAAGCTCACATGTTATTTTTTCAGCCTATACTTTTTAAAACTTGCGATCTCTGATTTCTTTTTGATTTGCAGTGTTTTCATTGTTTTAGCCTAGCTGGCAAATTCATTTCCAGCTTCTTTTGGTCACTTTCTACAGATACCTGCTGACAATTTTTCACTGAGTTTCCCACAAATTCCCATTAAAAAAAAAAAAAAATACTGCAACAGTGATTTAAACAAAGTGTTCATTTGAAGCTGTGATTTAAACAAAGTCTTCAATTGAATACAATCATGTATTTGTTTTATTTGTAGGTATGCTTTTTAAAGTATTTTTATCTTTATAATTGCTTTTATTTTTAGGTATGATAAGTAGAAAATGCCATAGCAATTATCATTCATCCCAGAAACTATAATAAGGAATTTATCAAATAAGAGTTCTGTATGGAAAATTTGAGCGTGCTGCAGCACATTTTTAAGGTTGAAATACCTCCTGAGTGAGCAGGCTGATGGAATTCAGCCCTTCATCATTCTGACTTCTCACACCTCTCCTGGATCTGCCTTCAGGGAATCCTGTCTGGGGTCTAGCAAATGTAATAGACATATGGGCCATGACTCAACATTTGTGTTATCCAGGAGCTTGATTCTGATTCTTACATCTAAAAGAGAGTTTCTAAACATTTTTATAGGAAATGTAGCTTTTAAAAAAAGCCAGTATTTGTAAACTGCTTATGTAGAGGAGGAAATGAGGCCTGGCCAGTGTTCGAGCATCTGACGTGGAAGGGCAGGTCCCAGCTGGCCTCTGGGCCCTGGGAAGCACCTGGGCCCCTGCCCAGCTCCCTCAGCACCTGGCTGCCCCCTGCTGCCACCACTGGTTGCTGTCTGCGGGGCGATTGGCAGGGTGATTAGGCCCCGCTTGCACCCACCTTGGCCTGGCCCTGGCCCTCTCACCTGCTCCACTATCCCTCTGCGGACCTGCTCTTGTTGGGGCCCATCAGGGCCAGCAGCACCTCCACTGTCACCCGCTGCCAGGGTATGTCACTGATTCCTGCCTGATGGTCAGTGCACATCATAGTGATTGGTCGAACTCCTGGTTAAGGGGACAATTTGCATATTAGGTTTTTATTATATAGGATGTCTTTACTTTCATACCCAAGAACCTAACCCTCAAACTTTAAAGGACTAAAGAAAAGTGAGACTATTACCTACTAAAAGCCATTCCAAGAGGCAATTCAACTATTTCTATGCATCATAGTAGTTGCCTAAATTTGCAATACTCACTTAAAAATGAGACATTAGAAATTCTAATCTTGGGGTATTGGAATCATTCTAGGATTTCCTTAAGATAAAAAAGTATAATATCTTGACATCATTGCATATTGGTTCTCACAAGCAAACAAATGAATGCATAAAATATGATTGATTATTGGACCTTTAAGAAATTATTTGCTCCTGGATACGCAAGTGTTTTGAAAGTTGAGATCTGGACCACATTAATAAACAGAATTTGCTTATTTGTATCAACTTGGAAATACATTTATTTAATTTTGTAGAACAAATATTCACCCTTGGATAGGTGGAGGATATATTCTCTAACAGTATAATGAGTAACTTCTGATAACCTTCATATTCAAGCTTTCAATTTGAGGAAATAAAATGTGAACTATAATGGGAAAATAGGGTACTAGCCCAATTTTTAAATATATAATTTTCAGTTGTTTCTGCATATCTGTGTTGCTATGTAAGCTTCAGAATTTCCTAATGAATGTAAGGGTTAATTAAAAATGATTAAAAATGTACAATATCTGCAAATACCACCTCAGAGAATTATTAAGTGAATTGCTTGCTTCATTTGGTTTATGGAAAACAGAATAAATTATGTTTTCCATAAACCATGCCTATTTCAAAACAAAATAATATATGTTTTTGGATAGGTCTGTTCACTCTGTAATATCTCCTTTGGGGGCTCTTTTGTCAAAACTGAGAACACTTATAGTATCCAAAGCCTTTTCTATGAGAATATAGCAAAAGTTATTCTCCCTTCTTCTAACTCCCACAAATTTTACATGTTGCTGTTAACATATCTCTAAAAGTAAAAGCAAGGTAGTATTCTAGTGAAATAAAGGCAATTTTATTTAATTAAAAAACAAAACAACATACCAGAGGACTAAAGAGTTTAATTTTTGTGAAAAATAAGTAAACTATAATTGATATTTAAAATTGAAGTACTTTTGTTTTGATTAGTTGAAGGCTAATCCAGCATGGGAATGAAAGAGGCCTTTTGCTCACAGTTTCCACTAAGAACTTGTGACCTTTTCAAGAGTGCTGGCAACAAATATTTCAGTGACAATTTACCAAGATAGCAAGCAATTTTACTGCTAAAGATAGTTATGCCAGGATAAAATATAATTTCTGATTTTCTGAGAGCCCATGATCCCAATTTACCTGGAGTTACTGGTATTTATTCTGATATTTAAAAACCAGGTGTGTTTTAGAGTTCCCTTTAAAAAAAAGCAAAGTCAAATGGGAAACCTGTTTTGAATATTGGAATCAATATGGCTGAAATCAACTGCACACAAGATCTTAAATCAGACCATAATATGATTTACAGAGGAAAATAACTGAATTCAGTCATATACCTAGTAAGCTACATATATATATATATATATATATATATATATATATATATATATATGTATATATATGTATGTATATATATCTATATATATATATATATATATATATATATTAATAAAAGAGAAATATACAAATTGATCATCACTCCACTATACCCACCAGCCAATCAGAGCAAGTATGCAAATTAACCCAATCAAGATGGCGGCGACCACAGAGCTAGAGCGAGCAGGAGGCTTGGGTTGCCACGGGCGATGGAAGAAGCCAAGCTTCCTGCCTGCTCTGGCCAGCCCTGGCCTCCGCTCAAGGCTACAAAGTTTCAATTAGAGAAGATAAATAAATCCCAGA